GAGCGTGAGTAACAGATGTCCTGAGCCCCATCAAGGGTGGGGAGAGAACCTGCTCCAGAATCTGGACAGAACCCAGCGTCAGCTAATCGGTTTCCAATCCTAAGTAACTGGGAATCAGATGGATTTGGTTTCACATAACCCCGCAGAAGCAGACTCCTCCCTAAAAAGCGCAACAGCTTTCCTGTCTCTCGCCCTCCTCCCTCCTCGCTGCCGGTCTGGCTGTGGACAGACTGCCTCCTTGCCCTCTTGCTCTTGGTCTCAGCCCAGCTTGCTGTGCTTTTTTTAGCTCATAAGGAAGACAGCACAATCGTACCCTCTATCCGGTGTCGACCTTATCTTCCCCCAAGTCTCCCTCTGAATAGGGCTACGAGCCTCCAAATTGCTCCCAGGTCCGTGGCTTAAGGGTCACTTGGTGAACCTTTATACTGTGAGCGTGGGTGCGATGCCAAGCTGTTGGCCGACATTGTCTCTCAAATCCTCACTACGGTTGTGTGAGACTCATTATCCCTCTTGCACATTTACTCCTATTCTACGCCGTTGATAGTTGATAGGTGAGGATGCCGAGGCTCAGAGCAGTTAAGAAACTCGCCCAAGGTCACACAGCGCGTGGGTGGCAAACATCAAGGTCACACAGTGTGTGGGTGGCAGGTCCTCTGGGGGGGCCCCCGCTCCAGAGGACCTGCCTGCGTGGCTGCTCTGCTGCTCTCCAGGCTTCATGAGCCGTTCACAGCGGCCGGGGCCAAGGAGGCTGAGCACGCATGCTCCTGCTTCAAGACCAGCGTGGGAGGCCACGGTGTGGAGAGTCAGCCCAGGGCTTGGCTGTCAAAGCTCTCCCTGGTGGCTCAGCACTCGGGCTTTGTACCCAGATCCCAGCTACGATGAATTATTTCCTTCCTTCAAACCCCCGCTGAGTGCAGTCCTCCTTCCTGGCCCGGGCACCTCTCCTGAGACACCTTGCTCAGGCCTGCTGTGCCCTCTGAATCTTTGTCTTATTTTATTCATCCTAAGCACAGCGTTCACCCCCCTGTCTCACCTGCAAGGCTGCGGGCTCTGTGGGAGCCAGAGGAGGTCATGTTTTATTTTCTGATGCGGTTATTGCCTGTCCTTTATTAACTGTTCAGAAGATGTTGTAGAATTGAATTATGTCATACAGTTCAGCTCGCTCTTGTTCTAGAATCGAGATGAGGAAGCTGAGGTTCGGAAAGGGGAAGTGACGCAGGCCGTTGGGGGACCAGTCGGTCGGTCGTAACCAGGGTTAGAAATCAGGTCTCCTGAATCTTTCCATTCGGAGCTTTTCCGGTGCACTTTGACATTGTGAGACCAGAGCGTGGGTCCCCCTTGGCTTTTGAAGCGCCTGGCCAGCCACTTCAAGGGGGCGATAGCGCCATATTGCCGACGGACACCAGGCATCCTGGGAGGAAAGGACCTCTGAACCCCTCCGCTGGTTCTCGACCCCAGGTCTGTGCCCTCCTCCCTCCGAGCCCCTGGGCCTCTGAGGGAAAGCTGGAGTAGTGTTCTGAAGCTCGTGGTTCAAATCCTAATTTTGCTGCCAGCTCACTGTGTGACTTGTTGCTAATTACTTCACCTCTCGGATTTTTCTTAACCCAGAAAAATGAGGGGGTTGAATTTAGGTGATCTCTAGGAGTTTTCAAAGCCTCAGGCTCTGATTAAAGAGGATAAAGGAAGACAGAAAACGCTTTTGGCTTCACATTCAAACCAGAGCAAGTGTGTGTGTGTGTGGTTAAATGCAAATGTTGTAGGTGCTTAACAGTTCCCATGCTCTCTTATACATCACGCATGGGTATTCTTAGGTTTCTCCTTATGAGCGTGCTCCTGCCTCCTCCCCACCCGAAGGTGCCTCCTGCCAGGCCCCCCAAACTGGCCAACCCACAATCCTTCCCTACCCCTCCTTCCTTTCGGCTCACTGGACTCTTTGTTTTGACTAACACCAATCTGCACGCACGTCTATTTTATTTATTTGTTTATGTTTATTTTTACATCGTTCTCCATTTTGTGCATATTTCCATCTCAGTCGTAATCCCCAAAGACTTCCCACCACCAATTCACCCATGTGCCATCACTATTGTCTTGTGCACTTTTCCCACCCAGAAAGAAAGCAAAAATACTGGATGGTTTCACTCATAGCAGGAGCGTAATGGATGAGGGGTGGGGGTGTGGGTGGGGTGGGGAGGGAAGGCAACTGAAATAAAGAAAAAGTGAAAAGCAATGAGTAATTATAAAGCACATCTATTTTTTAAACTTTTCACCTCCTGGTCAATGACGGTGTGTGAGTCTCAGGCATGCATCATTGAGGATCAGCAGGTATATATCCTGGGTTAGGTTGACTGGCTGCTAACTCTAGTTCTATCCTTCACTAGACCACTGTGCCCTTTGTCCTAAAGCTGTGTCTTTTTTTTTTTTTTAAGATTATTTATTTATGCTTACAGAACTGGGGTACAGGCCAGAGGTGCGGGGTTGGTGAGAGGCTTCACCAGAGTGGGGAGCAAAACAAGTTGACTGACAAAGTACACTGCTGAGGGGAGCAGCGGGCAGGTCAGGAGAGGTCTGATGCACTATGTGGTCACCTAATGGGGCGGGGCTCGAACTCATGCTGAAGTGGCTTTCACTTCTTAGTGCTGCGCTTTAACCCGCTGCGCCACCAGGGAGGTCCCCTAAAGCTGTGTCTTCTAAAGGTTAGTGATCTTCTATTTTAGTTAAACTCTATCATCCCAGTATAGTTTTCTGCTGCTACTTTTTTTTTTTTTAAGATTTATTTATTTATACATATAAGAACTGAGGAACAGGCCTGCTGAGGGGGGCAGCGGGCCAGACAGGAGAGGTCTGCTGCGCCACATGGGTCACCTCTCTGGCTGGGGAGTGAACTCGTGCCGCAGTGACTTCAGAGAGCCTCAAAGTGCTGCGCCTCAACCCCTTGCCCTGCCGGGAGATGGTTCTGCTGCTACTTCTTATGGAAGAACATTTAGGGTGATGTAGGCTAGGCTCAGAAACGATCACCATTTATGACATCGTGTTCAATGGGAAATCCATTCCTACAACGGCGTCAGGCGGACTTTAAGAATACAACGCAACACAGACTGACAATAAGGGCTGACAGTGTTTATTTTATGAGTGATGGATTTTCTTTTTTTAAGGATTTATTTATTGGCCCTCCCTGGTGGCACAGCGGGTTAAAGCAGAGCACTGAGAATCTAAGGCCGCTTACGCATGAGTTTGATTCCCGTCTGCCCTGGAGGTGACCACATGGTTTGGCAGACCTCTCCTGACCAGCCCGCTGCTCCCCTCCCCTCAGCAGTGTACTTCCTCCATCTGCCTGTTCTGCTCCCCACTCTGTCTTGGGTGAAGGCTCTCACTGCCCCTGAGCCTCTGGCCTGTACCCCAGATCTGTATGCACAAATATATAAATCTTTTAAAAAAAAAAGATTTATTTACTTGTGCATACAGAACTGGGGTACAGGCCAGAGGTGGGGGGGCAGTGAGAGCCTTCACCCAAGACAGAGTGGGGAGGCAGAACAGGCAGATGGAGGAAGTACACTGCTGAGGGGAGCAATCGGTGGGTCAGGAGAGGGCTGCCGGGCCCGAGTGACGGATTTTGATGCAACCATAGAGTCTTTGAACGTAGAGCCGAAAAGCCTCCCTCCCAGGATCAATGGATCAATGGATTAACAGACTGGCTTGCGGGGAACTGAGCCCTGGAGAGGGGCAA